ATTTCTTTCCTTCTTAATGCATCAGTTGTGTTGTGACAAGGTAGGGGTGGTATACAGAAGATATCCCTATTTGGTAAAAGACCAAGTCCATATTATGGCAAGAACAGCTCAAATAAGCAAAGAGAAATGACAGTCCAACATTACTTTAAGACATGAAGGTCAGTCAATATGGAACATTTCAAGAACTTTGAAAGTTTCTTCAAGTGCAGTCGCGAAAACCATCAAGCGCTGTGATGAAACTGGTTCTCAGGAAAGGAAGACCCAGAGTTACCTCTGCTGCAGAGGATAAGTTCATTAGAGTTACCAGCCTCAGATTGCAGCCCAAATAAATGCTTCACAGAGTTCAAGTAACAGACACATCTCAACATCAACTGTTCAGAGGAGACTGCGTGAATCAGGCCTTCATGGTTGAATTGCTGCAAAGAAACCACTACTAAAGGACACCAATAAGAAGAAGAGACTTGCTTGGGACAAGAAAGACGAGCAATGGATATTAGACTGGTTGAAATCTGTCCTTTGGTTCCAACTGCCTTGTCTTTGTGAGACGCAGAGTAGGTGAACGGATGATCTCCGCATGTGTGGTTGAAGGAGGAGGTGTGATGGTGTGGGGGTGCTTTGCTGGTGACACTGTGATTTATTTAGAATTCAAGGCACACTTAACCAGCATGGCTACCACAGCATTCTGCAGCGATACGCCATCCCATCTGGTTTGCGCTTAGTGGGACTATAATTTGTTTTTCAACAGGACAATGACCCAACACACCTCCAGGCTGTGTAAGGACAATTTGACCAAGAAGGAGAGTGATGGAGTGCTGCATCAGATGACCTGGCCTCCACAATCACCCGACCTCAACCCAATTGAGATGGTTTGGGATGAGTTGGACCGCAGAGTGAAGGAAAAGCAGCCAACAAGTGCTCAGCATATGTGGGAACTCCTTCAACACTGTTGGAAAAGCATTCCAGGTGAAGCTGGTTGAGAGAATGCCAAGAGTGTGCAAAGCTGTCATGAAGGCAAAGGGTGACTAATTTGAAGAATCTAAAATCAAAAATATATTTTGATCTGTTTAACACTTTTTTGGTTACTACATGATTCCATATGTGTTATTTCATAGTTTTGATGTCCTCACTATTATTCTACAATGTAGAAAATAGTAAAAATAAAGAAAAACCCTTGATTGAGTAGGTGTATGTGTGTGTGTGTGTATATATATATATATATATATATATATATATATATATATATATATATATATATATATATATATATATATATATATATATATATGCAGTATACTGTATGTTCGACTTGCCCACTTTTCCAGCACATAACTGTCACGCCCTGGCTCTGGGGACACTGTTATGTTGAGCCAAGGTGTGTAATTCTATGTATTCAATTGCTATGTTGGGAGTTCTAGTTGGTATTTCTATGTTGGCCTGAGTGACTCCAAATCAGAGGCAACGAGTGTCAGCTGGTTGTCTCTGATTGGGAGCCATACTTAAACTGTCTGTCTTTCCCTTTGGGTTTGTGGTTTCTTGTTCTTATTTGGTTTGTGTTCAACCGTAGACATCACGTTTTCGTCTGTTGTTTTGATCATGTGATCATACTCTAATAAATATAAATATGTTCACCTTCAACGCTGCGCATTGGTCCTCCTCCTTAGACGATCGTGACAGAAGAAACCACCAGAACTGGACCAAGCAGCCTAGTGAGGAGCAGAGTGGGTGGACTTGGCAACAGTGGAGGAAGAGCTTCGACTGGGTCAAGCCGAATGAGGAGCTGAATGGCGGAGATTGGAAGCAGAAGAGCGAGAGTTGGGCGAGAATTATCAAGGCCTGGCCCACGGGGAAGAGAGACTCCCAGAAAATTTTTAGGGGGGGGGCTCACGACGTCGGACCAGCAGGAGGCCGCGATAGAGCGGCCCAGCGGGTTGCCAGAGGAGGCCGCCAGGTTACGGGGGCCACTGGTCGAAGAGGGGGTGGAAGATGTAGAGGCACGGCGAGAGGTACTGGCGTGTGTTGCCAGTCCGGTCCGGCCTGTTCCTGATCCCCACGGAGGGCCAGTGGTGTGTGTTCCCAGTACGGTCCGGCCTGTTCCTGCCACTCGCACCAAGTCTACGGTGCACATCGCCAGCTCGGCCCGGCCCATTCCTGCTCCCCGCACCAAGTCAGTGGTGCGTTTCGTCAGCCCTGTCCGGCCCGTTCCTGCTCTCCGCACCAAGTCTGTGGTGCATGTCGCCAGCCCAATCCGGCCCATTCCTGCTCCCCGCACCAAGTCAGTGGTGCGTTTCGTCAGCCCTGTCCGGCCCGTTCCTGCTCCCCGCACCAAGTCAGTGGTGCGCGTCGTCAGCCTGGCCCGGCCCGTTCCTGCTCTCCGCACCAAGTCTGTGGTGCGCGTCGCCATCCCAGTCCGGCCCATTCCTGCTCCCCGCACCAAGTCTATGGTGCGTTTCGTCAGCCCTGTCCGGCCCGTTCCTGCTCTCCGCACCAAGTCTGTGGTGCGCGTCGCCAGCCCAATCCGGCCCATTCCTGCTCCCCGCACCAAGTCAGTGGTGCGTTTCGTCAGCCCTGTCCGGCCCGTTCCTGCTCCCCGCACCAAGTCAGTGGTGCGTTTCGTCAGCCCTGTCCGGCCCGTTCCTGCTCCCCGCACCAAGTCAGTGGTGCGTTTCGTCAGCCCTGTCCGGCCCGCTCCTGCTCCCCACACCAAGCCAGTGGTGTGCGTCGTCTGTTCAGCACGGCCCGTGCCTGTTCCCCACACCAAGCCAGTGGTGTGCGTCGTTGGTCCGGCACGGCCCGTGCCTGTTCCACTGGTGCCTGGTCCGGCACCGGTCAGATGCGTTACGCCGGAGCTAGAGCAATCCGCTCCATCAGTGTGCAGTCCAGCTCCGGCCAGCGGGGCCAGACCGGACCAGGGGTACTTTGGGGGGTTGGAGAGGGAGTGGGGATCAGGCCCGGAGCCGGATCCGCCGCCAAGGCGGAGTGCCCACCCGGTCCCTCCCCTGTGGTATTTAGTTGGCGCGGTCGGAGTCCGCGCCTTTAGGGGGGGGTACTGTCACGCCCTGGCTCTGGGGACACTGTTATGTTGAGCCAGGGTGTGTAATTCTATGTATTCAATTGCTATGTTGGGAGTTCTAGTTGGTATTTCTATGTTGGCCTGAGTGACTCCCAATCAGAGGCAACGAGTGTCAGCTGGTTGTCTCTGATTGGGAGCCATATTTAAACTGTCTGTCTTTCCCTTTGGGTTTGTGGTTTCTTGTTCTTATTTGGTTTGTGTTCAACCGTAGACATCACGTTTTCGTCTGTTGTTTTGATCGTGTGATCAACACCTGAAAATTGCCAAAAAGAGTAGAACCAGCTCACCTGCTTATACACTATGGTTTGACTATTAGATGTTAAATGTTTCTTTTGAAAAAAAAAATTTAAAAAGGTATTGTTTCACCTCATGAAAATGAAAGTTAATTTCACGTAACAAAATTAAAAAATCTTCAGAAATGGCTTTGTCAAAGCAACAAAATAACTAGAGCGTTACAATGAGTGTGGCATTTGGAATTAAATGGGTTAAAATCTTCCTAGAAGGAACATGTCAAAATGCTGAATTTTGGCACTTTACTAAGTCTTTATTCATATAAAAAATCTGAAAAATGATCCATGTGGTCTATATTAAAGGGCATGGTCAATTAATATAACAGGCTTTTAAAATGCAATATTGGTGCACAATTTCTACTTAGAATATCAAAGGGACACAAAAGGCACCCATTTCATGGAACGACCCAGCATTCGATCATAGATGCTACATGTAATCCGTTTGGCATGCTAAGATGGAAGAGGGCACAAATGGACTTAAAGGGATTTCAGCTGTACACTAGCCATGGCTTTCTATTTAAATGGTAAAGAGGGGTTGTGTGTGCATACCAAAGGAATACTGTACAGCACATGGGGATTAAAAGCCAATACTCTATTGTGTGTATGTATGTGAGGGAGGCCTATTATCTTGAGATCGCTAAGGAATGATTAGAATTAAAGACAATTGCATAGCTCCAGGGCTTTGTCTGTGTAATGTCACTTTGTGATAGGCAGTCTGATCTGATCCTTTTCATTCTATCTCTGTGGGGAAATTAGTCAATTACAATACATCTAAATTGGTAAGATATTATATGTTATGTATGATAGCCTCATGATTGTGTGCTGTGCCAGAATGAGATCATCCTCTCATGACCACAGAGCACTGCTGCAGGGCACAAATGGATGTTTCCCTGCATGTATTAGCTGGCGTTATTGTGGAAGGGAAGCCATAAAGATTTTTTTAAGCAAGAGTGTTCTTTCCAAAATAAACACAGTAAGAAAGGCCAGTTGATCCTACAGCAGGAACTGTTCTATTGGGAACAATATAGGCCAGCTTTTTTATCTGCACTCCCACCAAAGTGTAAAAGATTCAAACACTTTATAAATACTTCACAATCATTTCCATGCAGTAGTTTCAGAAAGTGTTTAATATCAAGCCTGCAATATGATGGTTAAGACCGTCTATGGGCCCATATTCTGGCGTTTATTTTGACATGTCCGCAAAGGCCAGGTCTGTGAGGAGAAAGACAACACGGAATAAGTGAATGCTATGATGTAAGACCACATTTGCTCAGCAACAGTCAATGAATCCAGTGTAGCCGTGATAAAGTCACAGGGCAGTTTTTCCCCTTTCTTTTTCTCTGTTGGTTTATAAGCCCAAGCAACTGTTAACTGATATATTCCTGTTCATGGGTATTTCAAAAACCCACATCACAGCCAAAACATAACAATTAAATCCATTGCAGTTGACTTTCCTTGCAACACATTCTAAAGCTGCAGTCTAACACTTGGCTGAGCAAATTGTGCATGAACAAAGCTTTTGTTCCAGATAACGTTACATAACACACTCTTGTGTTTTTCCTTTTCTGTTTACAAACCGTTATACGTTCTTGTGTTGTTTTTCTAGTTATTACATTCAACCTTATGCTCAATTTACCGACATGGCCTGGATCAAAATCAAATGCCTAGAGTCCAAGAGTCAGAAAAATCACCAACCAACCAGAAAACTACTTTGGCTCTAGCTTCTCATAATATTTTTTCTTGCTGTTGCTGCTAGCTTTCCAGTCGATTGCCATTCCTCCTAGTTTCAGCTCTGTTGTTGTTTTTTCTCTCTTCCAGAGGAGGAACGTCCACCTGCTGTTGAGTGTGTTGGTGTTGGCTGCCTGGGGGGCTGTTCTGCTGGCCTGCCGCCTTTACTGGATGGGTAACAAACCACCCAACTTCTCCAACTCAGACAACCCAGCTGGGGACTCCCCGTCCCTTCTCACCCGAGTGCTCACCTTCCTCTACCTGCCTGCCGTCAACATGTGGCTCCTCCTCTGCCCGGACACGCTGAGCTTCGATTGGTCCATGGACGCCCTGCCTCTGATCAGAGGCATTGTCGATTGGAGGAACCTTCATACCGTGGCCTTCTATGTGGGACTGCTCCTCCTGGCTTGGTTTGGGCTTTGCACCCGCCAGGTCAAGGGCAAGGAGACCAATGGAAAAGCCCATCATGTAACAAACGGGAACGGGAGGTCCAACACCAATGGACACAGCTATCACCACCCTGACGTCCCCGACCAAACAAACTCTGAAACAGAGCCTCACCCTGCTGGTGCACAAAACGGTACCAAAAAGCATTACGTCACGAGGACTCGACTGCCCACCACTGAGAATGTAGTGGTGTTCTCCTTGGGCCTACTGGCCATCCCTTTCCTCCCTGCCACCAACCTGTTCTTCTACGTGGGCTTTGTGATAGCAGAGAGGGTACTGTACATCCCCAGTATGGGCTTCTGTCTGCTGCTGGCAGTGGGGCTGAGGTCCCTGTACGTGCGGCTGAGGCGGAGGTCCTCCAGGACTGTGTTGGTGTACTGTAGCGCCGCCATGGTCCTTCTGTTTGGGGTCAAAACGGTGCTGAGGAACCAGGACTGGCAGAACGAGGAGATGCTCTACAAGTCAGGAATATACGTGAATCCTGCTAAAGGTAATACACACAGACAAACATACACACACACTTTAACATTCTCACATAATATATTCACAGGTGGACTCTATATGACCTAAAGTAACATCACGTTAAGTGATAGCTACTCCCTGTTAATGTGGGAGTGAAAGAAAGGGTGAATTTTAAAATGTACTCTGAGATGTGAGCATGAGTGTTCAGAGCTGCCTGTTAAATTGTTTCCAGTATATCATGGCTAAAGGACCTTTCAACACAAAGCCTCCATTGTAAACCTACTAAATCCCCCACTATGGCAGACTAGAGTCTCTCTCCTTCTTACTTTTGGAGGACATCTTCACTGACATCCCTGCTTGATTGGCAATGAGGGGAAACAACAATACTAGAATGTTCAAACATTCAAATGTAGGGTCACGATCATCCAAAGAGTACTGAATAGCTAGTAGTGTTACTCCTGAGATAGTGAGCCCGGGCTAGGGACAGAGGTAACGGCAGGACATGTTGTGTTAGCTAATTTCCCTGTCATATTCTGCGGCAGAGCTGATACATGACAGCTGTTTATCCTGGCAACGCAACTCAGAGCAGCAGCTACGTTTCTTCCCTGGCTCACTGTCCTCATCCGATGTGTGATGAGACGCAATGGGTCGAGTCTGAAATAGTGACACACTCCGTTAAGCATTGAGAATAAGTTATGTGAGAAAACACAGTAAAAGAGACGGAACAAATTCACATGGCAAGGTTTCTGTTGTAGTATATTCCCTTTAAAAGGTCTTATTGTATTTACAGTCACATTTTAAAGTTATTGACTTCTTTCTTCCTCTGCTCGGATTTCCTATTATTGTTTTTGAGACTTTTGGGATATCTCTCTCAGACGCCTTAACTAATAAATAAATGCATAGCTCAAAGGAGCCTTTGGCATAACTGAGCACTTGATACAGTTTTTATGAAATGTAACCCGGGCAACCTGAATGACTCACTATTTGTCTTTCCCATCAGGAGAGCAAGAAGAAACAGTGTCTAAGGGGCAGATTGTTCACTGTAATTCCTGTTCATAGTTCTCTTACTGTGTACCCTGGCCTTCAGCGGTATACAGACCGAGTTAAATAGTGCATAAGTGCATACATAAGCCCATATGTATACATGATGGATCCCAACTGTCCATACTTAGCTACAGTATTGATTTAGTTGTCAAACAAAAATATTGAAGAGAAACACTATTCAGTCGATTTGGTTGTCAAGCCACATTATATATACAAATGTATGTGGACACCCCTTCAAATTAGTGGATTTGGCTATTTCAGCCACACCCGTTGCTGACAGGTATATAAAATCGAGCTCACAGCCATACAGTCTCCATAGACAAACATTGGCAGTACAATGGTCTTACTGAAGAGCTCAGTGACTGTCAAAGTGCCACCGTCATAGGATGCCGCCTTTCCAACAAGTCTGTTGTTCAAATGTTCTGCCCTGCTAGAGCTGCCCTGGTCAACTGTAAGTGTTGTTATTGTGAAGTGGAAACGTCTAGGAGCAACAACGGCTCAGCCGCGAGGTGGTAGACCACACAAGCTCACAGAACGGGACCGCCGAGTTCTGAAGCACGTATCACATAAAAATCATCTGTCCTTGGTTGCAACACTCACTACCGAGTTTCAAACTGCCTCTGGAAGCAACGTCAGCACAAGAACTGTTCGTCGGGAGCTTCATGAAATGGGTTTCCATGACCGAGCAGCCGCACACAAGCCTAAGATCACCATGCGCAATGCCAAGCATCTGCTGGAGTGGTGTAAAGCTCGTCAACATTGGACTTTGGAGCAGTGGAAATGTGTTCTCTGGAGTGATGAATCACTCTTCACTATCTGGCAGTCCGACAGACGAATCTGGGTTTGCGGATGCCAGGAGAACGCTACCTGCCCCAATGCATAGTGCCAACTATAAAGTTTGGTGGAGGAGGAATAATGGTCTGGGACTGTTTTTCATGGTTAGGGCTTGGCCCCTTAGTTCCAGTGAAGGGAAATCTTAACGCTACAGCATACATTCTAGACAATTCTGTGCTTCCAACTTTGTGGCAACAGTTTGGGGAAAGCCCTTTCCTGTTTCAGCATGACAATGCCCCCATGCACAAAGCGAGGTCCATACAGAAATGGTTTGTCGAGATCGGTGTGGAAGAACTTGACTGGCCTGCACCTCAACCCCATCGAACACCTTTGGGATGAATTGGATGCCGACTGTGAGCAAGGCCTAATCACCCAACATCAGTGCCCGACCTCACTAATGCTCTTGTGGCTGAATGGAAGCAAGTCCCCTCACCAATGTTCCAACATCTAGTGGAAAGCCTTCCCTGAAGAGTGGAGGCTGTTATAACAGCAAAGGGGGGACCAACTCCATATTCATGTCCATGATTTTCGAATGAGATGTTCGATGAGCAGGTGTCCACATACTTTTGGTCATGTAGTGTATGTGCATTTTCTTCTATATATGAGGTAAAGCAGTACTCAATATAAATGTATTTTTCATAGGAAAATACAAATACCACTTGACAACAGAAAATTAGCTACCATACCTACTCCATTCACACCGCTGAGATTGATTGCACCATTTTCCTGTCTACCAGATTAATTCCTTAAATTTTCACTCTATATTAATATACTATAGAGCAGTCGTAGGGAGCTGTTGTTTTATTCCTTTTCTATTAGGAAATAATTGGCCTCTTTGACACACTGACTCCGTGGGGCATCTTTCTTTCCTTAGTCTCTGGGCCCAGTAGCTCAGTACCAGCTGTAGATATGCCCTCTGTCCCAGCCTGCACAATGCCCTCTGATGAGTGTAAAAACCAGCCTGGTCCCTGATCAGTTTGTGCTGTCTTTTGACATTTGACGTGACGTGGCAAGACAATAAATACAGATCAGGGACCAGGCTTTATTTATATAGCACATTTCAGACATGAATGCAACGCAATGCGCTTCACAGGAAAAAACGAATAAAAAACTATGAAATATTTACTACACAACAAACAACATAAGAGCATATAAACCAAAGAATAACAATAAAAACTGAAAGACTAAAAAAGCACCCTAAGGAAAAGCAAAGCTATAAAGGTGTGCTTTAAGATCTCTTTTAAATATGTCCACAGTTTCGGCCCCCTCAGGTTCTCTGGCAGGCTATTCCAGAGGCACCAGGGCATAGTAACTAAAGGCTGCCTATCCATGCCTCTTGGTCCTAGGCTTTGGGATAGTTAAAAGGCCAGTGCCAGAGGTCAGTACCCGTGCTTGGTCAGTACCCGTGCTGCAGCATTCTGAATGTTTTGCAGTTGACCAATGGCTTTCTTGGGTAGACCAGACAGGAGAGCATTACAGTGGTCAAGCCTGCTTGTAATAAAAGCATGGATGAGTCTCTCTGTATCAGCCTGAGAGAGAAACGGCCACACCTTGGCAATGTTCCTCAGGTGGTAAAAAGCTATTTTGGTCACATTCTTAATGTGTGATTCGAAATTGAGTTCAGAATCTAAAATGACACCTAGGTTTTTTAGCTGGTGTTTTATCTTTATTAAAATGTGCAGCCAGATTCTTTCTCTGTGCTTTGGCTCCAATAATAAGTACCTCGGTCTTGTCTTGATTTAGCTGGAGGAAGTTGTGAGCCATCCAAGTATTTAAATCACTAAAACAGTCTAATAATTTATCTGTGGAGCTAAAATTCTCTGGTGACACAGAAATGTAAAGTTGTGTATCGTCTGCGTAGCAGTGAAAACCACTGCTGTGCTTTCTGATAATGCTGCCAAGGGGTAACATATATAAACTGAACAGTACTGGACCCAAAATTGAACCTTGTGGAACACCACAAGTGATATCTATTTTCTCTGAGTTATGTTCACCAACGGTGACAAAAAAACTTGACCGGTTAAAGAAATATTGAAACCAATTTAGAACTGGACTGGAGAGGCCAATCCACCTCTCCAGTCTGTCCAGAAGGACATCATGGTCAACAGTGTCGATTGCAGCACTTAAATCCAAGAGTACAAGGACAGAGAGCTGTTTGGCATCTGTGTTGGCTCTAAGATCATTTATCACTTTAACTAAGGTTGTCTCTGTGCAGTGCTGGGACTGAAAGCCAGATTTGAATGTTTAAAAAAATACAGTTGGCACCAAAAATCTTTTTGCTGTTTGAAAACCAATTTCTCCAGAATTTTCCTTAAGGTTGGATATTGGCCAAAAATGTCTAAGAGCTGAAGAATCTAGATTACCTTTATTTAGAAGACGTTTCACCATAGAAGTTTTCAGGACAGTGAGGAAAGTGCCTGTGAACAGGGAGTGATTAACAATAGCTTGAACCTCTTCAGATATGCAATAGGGCGGCAGGTAGCTTAGTGGTTAAGAGCGTTGTGCCAGTAACCGAAAGGTCTCTGGTTCTAATCCCCGAGCCGACTAGGTGAAAAATCTGTCGATGTGCCCTTGAGCAAGGCACTTAACCCTAATTGCTCCTGTAAGTCTCTCTGGATAAGAGCGTCTGCTAAATGACTAATTATTATTATAAAAACCCAAGACAGAGATAGTGTGTTCGAAAGAGGCTGGCAGCCATGTTGATTGACCCTGTTAACCTTATTTCCTCCCTCTATCAGCATGGGGCAATCTTGGGAACGTCCTAAAGAACCAGGGCAAGATGGTGGAGGCGGAGCAGGCATACAGGAACGCCCTCTACTACCGCAGGAACATGGCAGACATGCTGTATAACCTGTGAGTGTCTATATCAAATCAAATCAAATGTATTTATAAAGCCCTTTTTACATCACCATAGACTCTGTATGCATACATGAGCATCACTGTCTCCCCTTACACACACACACAAACACGGCTGTCTATTGATCAGTGGCCTTCACAGAGAGGAAATTGTGTTTTGTATTCCTGCTGTCTCTGTGACAGTAGGTTATTAATCATGCTGTGTCAGCCTGAGGGTAGGACAACAGCCAGCACAGAGCCAATACTCAACACTAGCCCCAAGGGCTTTAGGTGTTACTCAACATAACCTTAGGTTATTTTCCATGTTTAGATTGTTTAGAACAGAACTAGAGATTTGGTACAGTAGCATTTTATTTTACAGTACTGTTTCCAATTATATTTATATAGTATTTACTAGGAAACTGTATTACCTAGTTGTCTTATGTTATTCAGTCTTATTACATTTACATTTACATTTTAGTCATTTATCAGACACATTGGACTTTAATAGTCACCTCTATTGAGATTTGTAGTCGTGAGAGTCCCTAACTTTCTCTGTTACTTCTTTCTCTGTAATAGCGGTTTGCTGCTACAAGAAAACAACAAGTTCTCTGAGTCGCTCCACTACTATAAACTGGCCATTGGGAGCAGGCCAACTCTGGCTTGTAAGTACAGCTCCTCTTTTTGTTGACAAATTCCAGCTCTCGGTATAGCACAGTGCCAATGTCCAGGCAACTGCCAATGGGGCTGAGGGTGAGGGAGGGCACAGGCAGGCCTGCTACATTGCTAGATGAATGATTGAACACAACCTGTAGATTAGCGTTCAAGGACAACATGCCAACAGATTAAACGATTGCATTATTTAATTTAATATCAATCCAGGTCAAAGTCTCTCTCTCTCTCGCTGTCTCTGTCTCTGTCTCTCTCTGTCTCTGTCTATCTCTGTCTCTCTCTCTCTGTCTCTCTCTGTCTCTCCCTCTCTCTCCTCTCTCTCTCTCTCTCTCTCTCTCTCTCGCTCTCTTGTCTCTTCTCTATCTCTTCTCTCTCTCTTGTCTTCTCTCTTGTTCTTTCGTCTCTCTCTCTATTCTCTTCCCTGTTCTGTCTCTTCTCTTCTCTGTCTCTCTCTCTCTTCTCTCTCTTCTCTTCTTCTCATCTCTCTCATCTCTCTGTCTCTGTCTCTGTATTGCTTCTTCTGTCTCTCTTCTCTCTCTCTCTTATGCTCTCTTCTTCCTCTGTTCTCTTCTTCTTCTTCTTTCTCTCTTCTCTCTTTCTGTCTCTCTCTCTTTTGTCTCTCTCTTTTCTCTGTCTCTGTCTCTCTCTCTTTCATCTTTCTTCTGTCTATCGGTCTCTCTCGTGCTCATCGCTCTCTTCTGTCTCTGCTCTTCTCTCTCTCTCTCTCTCTGCTCTGTCTCTTCTCTTCTCTGTTCTCTTTCTGCTTCTTTTCTCTCTCTTTCTCTTCTCTGTCTCTGTCTCGTCTCGTCTCTGTCTCTGTCTCTGTCTCTCTCTCTCTCTCTCTCTCTCTCTTTGTCTCTCTCTCTCAATGATGATTGTTTTCCTCTCTTACCTTGAGGAAAGTTGCATGCATGCTTCCTGCTAGCTCATTATCAGCATCGTTCAGATGTCATACTGCCTGGTTAGCAGAAGTCACTATCACGTGCTCAATTATTCCCCATTGTTTTCCATATCAACCGATGACAGATAAACAGTGGAGTCCTTGATTTCCCTTCCTTTGTCACCCAAAGTGTAATTAATAATTATGAATATAATCAAGATGATGATCATAGTCCTCATTCATTATGCAATTATTCCATCTAATACTGGCGATAGCAAAATGAATGAGTTACCTAAAGCGGTGGTCGGTGGTGATGGAAGTGAAGGAATGAGAGCAAGTCAGATAATAGATGTCATTTGTCAAGGTTGTACCATTATTCACTGCATTTAACTGACAGCTGGTACAACTTGGAATCTGGTCATTAACGATTCCAAAATGGCAGCTCCATGATGATAGAAGAGCTCTAATGATATACAGTTCCATTCACACTGTTCTCATATCCATTCTCTTTCAGACACACATCCTTTATGGAAATAGTCTTCAGCAACACTCTAGCCAGGGCAATATATGCCATTTATTCGTAGAATGGGATTGTTGAGTAGAATTTGGAACTTGACCAGTTCACTTTGGATGGACAAAGGACAGAGAGAACTGAGGAGAGGGTCTAGGTAGAACATTAGTGTAGTCTACATTTCATCATGGCATGCTGAGGCATACATACAGTATTAGTAGAGCCAGTTCGACCCCACAGACTCCCATTCACATTCCATCCCCCCTGAGTCTTGAAGATGTATTGGCACCCCATGGATGTGGTAGCCAATTGATCCACAGTGGCTGGCCAATTTATTACGAAAGAAGCTTGATAATTACTAGTTTCAGCCCCATAGAGCCTAATTACTCTCTGCCTGCATGTTGATTGTGTATTTGATCTCTCGTTCCCCCCTGCAGCTGCCTACTTGAACACAGGGATCGTCCCTGATGAACCAGGGGAGACTGGATGAAGCCAAGAGGACCTTCCTGACCTGCGCCGATATTCCCGATGAGAACCTGAAAGACCCTCACGCCCACAAGAGCTCCGTTACCAGCTGCCTATACAATCTGGGCAAGCTGCTCCATGAGCAGGGGCATCAGGAGGTAGGATAGAGGCGCAAATGGAGGGCGCACATACACATACACACACACTCACAGGGACACACACACCAAACATACACACAGGAACACACACCAGTGGAGGCTGCTGAGGTGAGGACGGCTCATAATAATGGCTGGAATGGAATCAATGGAATGGTATCAAACACATCAAGCACGTGGTTTCCATGTGGTTGATACCATTCCGTTGACGCCGTTCCAGCCAATATTACGAGCCGTCCTCCCCTCAGCAGCCTCCACTGACACACACCAAACATACACACACAGGTCTAAAAGAGCACAGGGTCTGAGTTGTGGAAACAGTATGGAACTAACAACATTAAAATGTGTGTATTGTCAGGAGAAATCTTCCACTACCCACTGGCCTTCTACACTAGTATACCCACTAATAGAGCCTATGGGGAATCACTGACTGAGAGAGAGGGGCTTTGTGACACTGCGCTAGCGCTCTGATTGGCCATGTCACTGAGATGATAGATCCTTTCTCCTTCACCGTCTTAGTGACCCCTGATTCCACACTGCAGTAGAGAAATTACTTGTGGCCCCGGCCTGGTTGGGCCCTCGTGCCTAATGGATGGTTCCTTTTGTTTTATTATCCATAGGAGGCCCTCTCGGTGTATAAAGAAGCAGTACAGAAAATGCCAAGACAATTTGCACCTCAGAGCCTCTATAACATGATGGGTAAGTGGCAATTCTCTTTCTCTCGAACAAAACACACAAGCTGTTATTTTTTTGTGAAAAAATAATAATAAAATTGAATAGAAGATTGGAAGATTGGAATACAAGTGAATGTGTGTTTCATTTGGAAGTGTGGTAGTATATTTGTAACCATTGTGTCAGCTGTTGGTTGTTAGCTTGGGTCCATGCACTTCTGCCTGAGTTTGTTGAACTTTATTCCACCTGAAGGGTCACAGGATTGAATTGTATTGATTGTGGCCAGGGTCTTGAGCTTGTCTGCTGAGCTAGGCTTACAGTAAGCATTACAAATTAGCCTGGTTTCGGAGGGTAGACTCTGCCTAAGGCCGTTGGTTTTAAAGGTGCTCTGTTTTCATAACGTCTTATAAATCTTTTTTTCTAAGATACGCAAACCGGCATCAAAGTCGGGGTGTGTGGCAGCAGCTCAACACACCCATTGAGGCCCCAATGTTGAGGTTTCCACAGCGCGTTAACGCAGTTAATTTGCTTTCCACTGCAATAATAACCACGCTCCTTGTGTTACAGTCATGTGAAAGCAGCTGCAGACTGAGTTGTGACTTTTGATTGCAAAAAACAATAATATTTCATTTCAAGTGACCCCCGATTGCACTCTCACTCTTGTCAGTCAATGGCCAAGTCTCAATCAGCCTTCGCTCCCTCTGTGGCACTCTCTCTCTCTCTCTTCCTCCATCCATCCCTCTCTCTCTTCCTCCATCCATCCATCCATCTCTCTCTCTCTCTCTCTCTTTCTCTCCCTCCCTCCGTCTCTCACTCTCACTCGCACTCTCTTGCTGAATTCCAGCAAGCCCCCCAATTACAGTACATTCACCAATGGAGTCAAATTCAGCTTGACAGAGGTGCTGAGATTATGTCAAATTGTTGACCAAATCACCTCTCACAGTTTGAAAGCTGTAAGAAATGTGGGCGGTTGAGTGGCACAGCATTTTCCCATATTTCTGGCAACTTTGTGAAGTTTACATGGCTGTCTGGGTCAAAGTTGGGTCTTAATCTGCCACACCCCCCTCCTCTCAACTGCGCAATGGAATGTTCCACTATAGGTGGTTTTCAAGTCCTTGGAATTTGTGTCACTTCGAATTTTATGTCCATGTCTGTGCTCCCTCACAGAGCTCCTTCTGAATCTGATGGTTGGCTAGAAAGGCACAAAGCGTTGCTGTTACCAGCTCTACATTACACCATGTCTGACAAATATGTATATAGATTAAGCTATTCATATTGCCCTTATCATAATCATAACAGTCGATAAACAGTATTATATTAGCTGCTGACAAGGACATTTATTAAGTCTAGGGATTATGTAACCCAACTAGGACATACAGGATCTCACATCTGATGTAAAAGGAAAAAAAGTTTGTGCTGATGGAAAACAGTTTGAAAGATATCTATTCTAACATTAAGCTGACTTTCCTTCTATACTTGATATACTGTTTTACAAAAGACTTCCCAAACTCTGATCCTTATCATGAGCAAAAATTAAAATGGGTCTTATATTTGGTACCACTTACATGCTTGAGTACCCTGTATTTAAGGGTATATTAAGCGTACATTACAAGCCATTGCTAATGAATAACACGGGGACGTCTGTTGATTGTCTGAGGTCAGCGGGTCAGCATTCATCACCAGCCACCTGCATGGGCAGATTGGCCGTCTGGCAATTCTGGCAACTTTTAGTTGGGTGGGCTGGTCAACATTGACCCAAAAATACACAATATATACAAAAGTATGTGGACACCCCTTCAAATGAGTGGATTTGGCTATTTGAGCCACATCCGTTGCTGACAGGTGTATAAAAGTGAGCACATGGCCTTACTGAAGAGCTCAGTGACTTTCAACGTGGTACTGTCATAGGATACCACCTTTCCAACAAGCCAGTTCGTCAAATTTCTGCCCTGCTAGAGCTGCCCCGGTCAACTGTAAGTGATATTATTGTGAAGTGAAAACGTCTAGGAGCAACAGCGGTGCAGCCGCGAAGTGGTAGGCCACACAAGCTCACAAAACGGACCGCTGAGTGCTGAAGCACGTAGCGCGTAAAAATCGTCTGTCCTCGGTTGCAACACTCACTACCGAGTTCCAAACTGCCTCTTCAAACAACGTCAGCACAAGAACTGTTCGTCGGGAGCTTCATGAATTGGGTTTCCATGGCCGAGCAGCTGCACACAAGCCTAAGATCACCATGCGCAATGCCAAGCGTCGGCTGGAGTGGTGTAAAGCTTGCCGCCATTGGACTCTGGAGCAGTGGAAACACGTTCTCTGGAGTGATGAGTCACTCTTCACCATCTGGCAGTCCGACGGAATAATCTGGGTTTGGCGGATACCAGGAGAATACTACCTGCCCGAATGCATAGTGCCAACTGTAAAGTTTGGTGGAGGAGGAATAATGGTCTGGGGCTGTTTTTCATGGTTCGCACTAGGCCCCTTAGTTCCACTGAAGGGAAATCTTAACACTACAGCATACAATTACATTCTAGATGATTCTGTGCTTCCAACTTTGTGGCAACAGTTAGGGGAAGGCCCTTTCCTGTTTCAACATGACAATGCCCCCATGCACAAAGCAAGGTCTATACAGAAATGGTTTGTCAAGGTCGGTGTTGACGAACGTGACTGGCCTGCACAGAGTCCTGACATCAACCCCATCAAACACCTTTGGGATGAATTGGAACGCCGACTGCGAGCCAGGCCTAATCGCCCAAACATCAGTGCTCAACCTCACTAATGCTCTTGTGGCTGAATGGAAGCAATTCCGCAACAATGTTCCAACATCTAGTTGAAAGCCTTTCCAGAAGAGTGGAGGCTGTTATAGCAGCAAAGGGGGGACCAACTCCATATTAATGCCCATGATTTTGGAATGAGAAGTTCGAGCAGGTGTCCACATACTTTTGGACATGTAGTGCAGTGGTTCCCAACCAGGGGTACTAGGACCCCTGGGGGTACTTGGCCTATCCACGGGGGGTACTTGAGAAGACTCATGAGACCATAGGCCTACTGGTAAAATGCACTAGGTACTCTGGGCAGAGCAAAATTCAGTTGACGGTACTGTAATCGAAAAGTTTGGGAACCACTGATGTAGTGTATATAATTATGTATTTTTAATTATGACACAGCCGGCAGCCCATGGGCCTGTTTTTTAAAATGACTTTTGCGCTATTTCTCTGTTGTCATAATAATTTATATTGAGCATTTGGCTGACCAGTGGGCAATGGCCAGTCCCCCTACCAAAATCGTCCGGCACGGTTTTCTGGTTGGCTGAGCTGATTCACATTCAAAGTCAAAAGCACGTCATCAAGGAGAGTGAGTCCGGCTTTGGAAAGTATTCAGATCCCTTGACTTTTTCCACATTTTGTTACATTACAGCCTTATTCTAAAATGTATTAAATCGTTTTTTCCATTCATCAATCTACAAACAATACCCCATAATGACAAAGCAAAAACAGGTTTTGCAAATGTATTAAAAATAAAACTGAAATATCACATTTACTTAAGTGTTCAACCCTTTACTCAGTACTTTGTTGAAGCACCTTTGGCAGCGAGTACAGCCTTGAGTCTTCTTGGGATGTATTTGTAAAATTTTGGGAATTTCTCCCATTCTTCTCTGCAGATCCTCTCAAGCTCTGTCAGGTTGGATGGGGAGCGTTGCTGCACAGCTATTTTCAGGTCTCTCTAGAGATGTTTGATCGGGTTCAAGTCCGGGCTCTGTCTGGGCCACTCAAGGACATTCAGAGACTTGTACCGAAGCCACTCCTGCATTGTCTTGGCTGTGTGCTTAGGGTCGTTGTCCTGTTGGAAGGTAAACCTTCGCCCCAGTCTGAGGTTCTGAGCGCTCTGGAGCAGGTTTTCATCAAGGATCTCTCTGTACTTTGCTCCGTTAATCTTTTCCTCGATCCTGACTAGTCTCCCAGTCCCTGCTGCTGAAAATCATCCCCACAGCATGATGCTGCCACCACCATGCTTCACCATAGGGATGGTGCCAGGTTTCCTCCAGACGTGACGCTTGGCATTCAGGCCAAAGAGTTCAATCTTGGTTTCTCATGGTCTTTAGGTGCCTTTTGGCAAACTCCAAGCAGGCTGTCATGTGCCTTTTACTGAGGATCGGCTTCCATCTGGCCACTACCATAAAATGCCTGATTGTTGGAGTGCTGCAGAGATAGTTGTCATTCTGGAAGGTTCTCCCATCTCCACAGAGGAACTTTGGAGCTCTGTCAGAGTGACCATCAGGTTCTTGGTCACCTCCCTGACCAAGGCCCTTCTCCCCCTATTGCTCAGTTTGGCCGGGCGGCCAGCTCTAGGAAGAGTCTTGGTGGTTCCAAACTTCTTCCATTTAAGAATGATGGAGGCCACTGTGTTCTTGGGGACCTTCAATGCTGCAGACATGTTTTGGTACCCTTCCCCAGATCTGTGCCTCGACACAATCCTGTCTCTGAGCTCTACGGACAATTCCTTCGACCTCATGGCTTGGTTTTTGCTCTGACATGCACTGTCAACTCTGGGACCTTATATAGACAAGTGTGTGCCTTTCCAAATCATGTCCAATCAAATGAATTTGCCACAGGTGGACTCCAATCAAGTTGTAGAAACATCTCAAGGATGATCAATGGAAACAGGATGCACCTGTGCTCAATTTCGAGTCTCATAGCAAAGGGTCTGAATACTTATGTTAATAAGGTATTTCAGTTGGGTTTTTTTTATACAGTACCAGTCAAAAGTTTGTACACACCTATTCATTCAAGGGTTTTTCTTAATATTTACTATTTGCTACATTGTAGAATAAAAGTGAAGACAACAAAACTATGAAATAACACAAATGGAATCATGTAGTAACCAAAACAAGTGTTAAACAAATCAAAATATATTTTATATTTGAGATTCTTCAAAAGCCACCCTTTGCCTTGATGACAGCTTTGCACACTCTTGGCATCTTGAAGGAGTTCCCACATATGCTGAGCACTTGTTGGCTGCTTTTCCTTCACTCTGCCGTCCGACTCATCCCAAACCATCTCAATTGGGTTGAGGTCGGGGGATTGGCACTGCATCGCAG